TCCGCCATTTTTATTCTCGTTACAGAGGAGTGATGTCTACGGGGAAAACTCAAAGGGCGGGGGGGGGGGGATTTAAAGAGACACACACACCAAAACGGAGCGTTCTGAGAGAGCTGGTTTCTACAGGGTCACAAACCTCCTCTGGTGCTTGATTCATGTTATATTTTGAACAAAGCACAGCACAGATGTTTCATTTAGATCACAGGGGACTGTTTGAAAAGGTGGAGAAGGGGGATAATATCCTTTTTAATAAAATATATATCATGGATTCTATGTCTATGTCTATGTATCATCATTTGTTTTTTAAACTCTGTTTAACGAGTGTGAGGCTCAGGTCCAGAGACTTCAACTGTGAGATTTGAATAACTAGATTGTTTTTGGATAGATCAGAGCTGCTTAATGAGTACAAACATTAGCTGAACACCTCACGTTTGTCCTGTTTCATCACCTCATCGTTTATACTTGACTCACAGCGAGTAAACAAAAAACATCTTTCCAGTAATTACACTGCTCCATGTCTCTGCCTTTATTCTGCTAATTAAAGAAGAGTGTCTTAAAACGCTTCACATTTGTGTAACACTGATAACATGATACCCTTCAATTATTAATGAAAGCTTAGAACTCTGTTGTGAAAATTGTCCATTTTGTTTGTTTTGTTTTGTTTTTTTGCTCATTGCGAGTAGTTCTTGGAGGGTATTCAAATACTTCATATCCCAAGGATCTCTACAAGGATGCTTTGAGGACAGTGGGTCGCTAAGCCAGGAGAACTGATTAAAGTAATGAAAGTGAGTCATAAATTACAAAAATAGACGTGTTGCCGACTTATTAAACCAAACAATTCTCAATGATGAAATGTCTTCAGCACGTTGAGGCTTCATTTGAAGGCTGAACATCTTTTCTTAATTTTGAAAGATTAAATGTTTTATTAACAGAGAGCTAAGCAGTGTCGACAGAAATGCATTGGATTCATTTGTTTGTTGTGTTGTTTCATTACGTCTTTTAATTTATGCCTGAAGATGTTTCTTTTTTAGACCAATTAAACAAAAATTTAACATTTTTGGTCATGACATAAAGGACGACAGCCTTAGCTCTCCACAGCAGGAAGAATTATCCATCCATCATCCATTGTCTGTATGATTTTCTTGTTAGGGGTCGCAGGGGGGCTGGAGCCAATCCCGGCTGTCATTGGGGCGAGAGGCAGGGTTAAACCCTGGACTGATCGTCAGCCAATCACAGGGCTGACATATAGAGACAGACATCCAGCCACACTCACATTCACACCTATAGGGGGAATTTAGAGTCACCAGTTAACCTAACGAGCTGTTTTTGGACTATGGGAGGAAGCCGGAGTACCAGAGAGAACACACACATGCACGAGGAGAAAGTGAGGCAACAGCGTTAACCCCTGCACTGCTTTGCAGCCAAGGAAGAATGATGACCTCAGCAACTATGGATGTGATTTTAAAATGATTTTAAAAAGTGTTATTCAAACAACAAACTCTGTGCTGAGAAAAAGGATTAGGGCTGCTGAAGTTTTGAGTTACAGAATTCTGAGAAAAAAAGTTCAAACTTGAACAAATGTTGTTTAGTAGCCTTAATCCTCTTTGGTATTAGTGACCTCTGTTCTCAAAGGTTAAAAGGGTAAATGGATGTTTTGATAGATTAATCCTGTAGTCATAGAAATGCAGAAAGTCTGAGAAATAAGGATTTCTAAGAGCCTGAGATGGCCTCTTTTTTTCTGTGTCTTTGTTTAACAGTCAAAAACAAAAATAATGAAATTGTAATATTATCAGAGAACTAGTAAACCTTGAACTGTGTGAGTTATGGTGTTTTAGAGATGCACGTTATTTCTTAATGAGTGGTGATGGGGATGATGTCACTGTAGACAGAGACAGGCTAGCTGCTTCACTCAGATTTGAATCTTTATGCTAAGCTAAGCAGAAAAATGTTTGCGGTAGCTTTATATTTTTTGTATAGCCATGTGGTGTCAGTGTTCTGGACTGACTGTAAACAAGGAAGAAAAGGTTTGTTAGAAGAAAAGCTGTGAACAGAAAACTTTTATATCAGCTTAAAGGCTTACTAAAACACAAAACAAGGCAAAACAAATGCTCTCTTTGGACACATCTAAGCTCCCCCTTCCCCTTCTTTCTCCACACGTTCCCTGCCCCTCATCTCCCTGAACTGAACTCTGAGTTACAAATTGCTTTGTTATTGCATGGTGCTTGTTGCTCAACAGCCGCAGGATATAATTGTCCTCACCTCCCGTCCACCTGCTCGTGGTGAATTTTTTGAAATATTTTGTTCACACAATTAGTGCTTGAACAAAACTCCTGAAAAACTCCTGAAGTTTTTCGGGGTGAGCTGCATGTGTGCTGCATTTCAAACAGCTGAATTTTTCACTCCGACTTTATCCGGAGTTTCTCCTGCCAGCCCCCCTAGTATTTTTTTTCCCCACAGAAAGTCCACGGCGGATTTGAGAACACAGCAGGTTATAATCATGAGAATTCACCTCCATTGAGTGGAAGGAGCTGACCTTTATTCATTGCAATCGGTGCATGACCATTAACCGGAGGATGTCAGAGGCAGTCACCCTGATATTCTCTAGACATTTTTAGGAGTGCAAATGGGAAAACGTCTAGAGGAAGTGGAAGACCCTGACAAACATCTGAACACAAAATTCAATTTTAAGCAAGGATATGCATCTCATAGTTGAATCTGTTATGTTTTTGTTTTTTTATGACCACAGGAAGTTTTTTCATTGGTTAGAAAAGTCTGTTAGTTCACTTTTAGTTTCAACTAAACTCGGATTATTCTCCTACAATCAATGTCCCTGCAGGTCTCTCTCGTCATCCATGTGGTGGTTTGGCTAACGTTTGGACAGAAAGGGGTCCACATGAAGAAAAAAAACATGCACAGTATGACACATTTTTGAGCCTCTGAGTAAAACATAAACAAGCTGAAGGAAGCGTCGTCCAGTCGGTGTAAACAGAGCTTAGAACAACAAACTGAGAGGGAGTTTGCTCTCTTTTTAAAGAAGTCATTACTCAAGGCTTACATTGAGAATATTAGATTTATGCTAAATTAATATTCAGATGACTTCAATGATGAATAAAGGCCCTGCTTTTTTATCTCTGAAACTTTCAGCCACTTGCTCATTTTGACCATGTGCTACAAAAACACAGCTCATTTAACTCTGCATCCTGTTCTGTACTTTTTAAAGGGAACTTTTTGCCAGATGGCTGTAGCTGATCTCATTTCTGCCTCCAACATTTTTCATCAGTATTACCCTACTTAGTGACTGAGCGGTTCAGTGGTGTCGGTTTAAAAAAAAAAAAAAAAAGAATTAAGAGCTCTTGTAGGATGCTTTTCAGGAACGAGCCAGAAGAACAAATGTTCACTGGAGGTAATTCTATTGTATTTATCATTTCAACAAAACGGCACAGGCGCTGACAGGCACCCCTCGTCATTAGAGTCAATCTCCAGGGATATTTTAAAGTATCGTATTTATCTTCATAATTGATTTTCCTGAACTACTCTGCAGCCGGCCTGTCTATTTTCTGTCTCTGGTTTTTCGGAGAATCAGTGAGCTCTATCCCTCATCTACACGATGTGACGCAGCCATGCGTAAAATGTCATATAAATGTATAATGAAGCTCGTCTAAATGTTCTCAGGATGATCATCTGTTCATAAATCTACAATGAAGCCTGTTTTGACTGTGCTATGGAAACAGAGAGCGTGCGACCTCGGGCTGCAGCGCCTCTCAGCTTAAAAAGAGTAAATCACAAAATAGAAAATAAACGTGTAAAATTTGCTCCTTCATGTATTATTCACCGGGAAAAAACATCGACTCAGTCAACACATCCGCACCAAGAAATTCAATCCCTCATGTGTTCACTTTCACTGCTTCCTTTCAGAAAGCATGGCGGTGTCAGAAGTGAGAGCCTTTCAACAGACTCTTAGGATATCTGGTTTCGATCTATCTCTATCTAAAGTTTTGATAGATTTTTTTCATTTTGTAGTATGATTAGATATCTTCTGGCATTGTAGGTACAAAGAGACAGCCCATGGAGACAGCCCATGTGGAGCGCAAAAGGGGGAAAACAATCTACTGTAGAGCAATCCCAGAACCCGTCACCAGCCACCTCACAACGATGGAGCTTTAAATGAATCAGTAAAAACAAACATCTGCATGCAGGTGCAGCTAATAATCCACTCTTATTCGTCCTCTTAACACCCACTCCATTCTCGCTTTTCAAGGTGCTAGTTGAACTGCAAACAGGTCCTGCACCAGTCAGCCAGTGCACAATCATGTGTCTGTGGGAGAAGCTTTGACTTTTAGATGTCATGATGGACACAGTTCTGTTAGACTGAATCATTCTGACCCCCCCTGTTAGAAAGGTTTGTTCATATAAGGATGAGTTTGCAGAAATGTTCAGGGCTCCAATCTGCACACTCACCGAACTGAAACACGGCTCTCTGTTTGGTGTGTTCAGACATAGTTTGCATATAGAAGGGCCTGTTCGCTTTGAGTGACGATTTCTTTTTTTTTGGCTCCATAGCACTAACCTTTACTGTAAATGAATCACTGAACATGAGCTGTTCTCTTATACATTTCCATTTCCTTAATCGCTCAATCAGTGACTGAACACTGCAAATTTGCTCCTAACCGACTGAGAGCTCGACTGAACTGACAAATTAAAACCCAAACATTTCTAAAAGATCCAAAACCTCCTGTCTGTTGAAACAAATACTTTGTCAATGAAACCTGCACTTGTCGGATACTTTCACAATCTATCTCCCTCTCGCATGGTTTCTCAAAAGAAGCCGACCTGAACATTTAGAAAAAGAATCATGTACTAAAGGATGAACAGGGCCAACTTCAAGTGGAGATGAATCCCACTCTTCCACTTGAAACTGGAGTTTTATTTACAGAATGTGTTCTCATAAAATACTGAGTTGATAGCCGTGTAGTCTGTGTGGAGTCTGTCTTGTTGTTTACCTTTTTGTCGGCTGTTCCTGCGGAGAGAGACTCTCTGCTCTGGACTGTCTGGCAGCAGATTGTGAAACCAGCGGCGATGCAAGTGTTGGACCCCAAGGCTCTGGGAGGAGGGCCAGTGTCTCCCTGCCTTGGCTCCCCCTGCAGGCACGGGCTGAACGGCCCATCTGGAGCGTGCTCTCATGCCCAGACCGACAGTCCTGAGGGCGGTCGGAGGAGCTGCCAGGGACAGCAGCGGCGGCAGGCTGGCGAGGGTCTGCTGTGCGACTCTGACGCTGGAGCGTTGCAGGAGCAGGACGCTGCCCGCCATCAGGTAGGCGATGCCCAGGCAGAGCAGCAGCATGTGAGCTCGCTTCAGCAGACAGTGCAGTCTGCAGAGGGGCGCCGCCATCCTGCTTCCTGTCTCTCACCTCAGAGGAGGAGAGCCATCTCATGGATCAGGAAGGAGGAGATCTGTAACCTACTTACAACTTCATAATCTGGGAAAGACCTGCAGCATCTGGCAGCGCTGTAGACATTGTGTCTCGGTTCTTCATCAGCACAGAGTCCAACAGCAGCAGAGGAACAATGGATGTGTCACCCCTGGAGAGGGTTTAATATCCGAGGCTGTGGTCACTGAATCCAGGATGATCCTCAGGGAAAAGCTGAAAACAGAGAAAAAAACAGCTGGTTTGAAGGCATGAGTGTATTTCTTTGTGTGTGTGTGTCTGTGTGTGCACCATCAAAGGGAAAGGAAGTATATGCCTGGAGGATTAGATGCACAGTTCATGTTGACATATGGGCTTGTGTTTTCTTTTCTTGCAGCATCTTGCAACACATCCCCCCCGGTGTGTGCTGCTGCTCCGTTGCTTTCACTCCTGCCGTTTGTTTTTAATTCAAAACGTTGCCTCAAGTTCTGCTGTGCTGCTCCTGTTTCCTCTATGTGCTGGGTTTGTGCTCTCCTGTCACATTAATCCGGTTTATAAAGAAAAAAAAGGGGGGGGGGGGACGATTCAATGACACCAAACCTTTCCGCTTTTAAATTGGATCCTCTCTCAACGCATTCAATTCCTGCACTGTCAGATTATATTTATTTTAACAACGGGGATATCTGTCTGCTTCACAATCTGAGAGACTGAGGGAAATAATCATGTGAAAGTGTCTGCAGAGTGCATTTATGGCTGTTTATGGAAATGGGGACTATCAACGCAGAATTCAGAGAATCTCTGACCTCAGATGTACTGAGGTGTCTGATTGATCATGCTGTAGAAGTAGTGTCAGTGTTTACTGAACACTTTGCAGAGAGGAGCAGTGGAGTGTCATGAATGTCTCTTTACCGCCTCCCTCTTTGATTCAGATGGTTTCACTTGCTGTCTGTGGAGGTTTCATGCAACACCAGCAGTTCTGTTTTGCACACCTCAGACTCATTCTGTCCTTCTGCACATCCATTCATAGCCATTAAAGCCCAGTTGTCTCGGTGGCCGTCACACACCGTCATGCCCTTCAGCTCTACTTTTCATCTCAGGCCTCTCCTCTGAAGCTACACACTGTACACCCCCTTCTCAATAATAATAAAAAAGAAAGTAGGGGTGCGGTGGAGCTCCCGAGGATAGAAGCAACAGTTTGCACAATGAACACTCTCTCTGATCAAGTCCGAGTGCCCAAGTTATCCTCAACTCCACATTTTTACGCACAAAATCACGCAAAACGATGCGCCTGTGTGTCCCCCATGCATCGGGACGGATGTGAGACTGAGAGCACATGAATAAACAGCGAGAGTTTAACACGGAGCTTCTGTTTAAGAATCCAGAGGTCTTCCATCTTAAAAAGCTCCTCCACCATTTACAGTACAGGATGTTTTGAGCACGCCGCTTACCTTCATCTCTGCACCGTGCGATCCGCGTCACGCCGTTCTCATCGCTGTTTTCTCCGGCTCTGACCGTCCAGTGAAGGTCTCCTCTGCTCGGCTGAGGCTCCGGCATTTCCCCAGAGCTGCTGTTATATAAGCTGCCTCTCTGTGAGTGTTTCTTTCAGCCTGTCTGTGCTCTCTGGAAGGCTGGCACGGCGATAGAAAGCACAGACAGTATCAGTGTGAGTGTGTGTCGCTCAGAGAGAGAGAGAGAGAGAGGGAGAGAGAGGGAGGGAGAGGAGGTGAATGAGGAGGGTAGGGGAGGAGGGGCAGTCAGTCTTATTTGCATTGGTGATCTGAACACGTCACAGCTCCTCCACTGTGTGCTGTCCAGCAGTCCGCAGCTCGCTCTGCATCTCAGAGGGAGCAGTTTATACCGTCTCACCGATCATCATACACACACACACACACACAGTGCCTTTTAATCAACATGCTCTCTGCACAGGAGAATCGTCAAGAATTACTTTAAAATATTCCCGAACAGCATGCACACTGCAGATCACTAACTCTTGTTGTTTTGATGTAAACACTGCATACTGCAAATCATCCATCAGACGTTTGAAGGACATTATTCAGATTCTGTATTTGATTAAATCAGCATGAATTGAACCAATTCTGAGACTACCGGGTTGATTTAGTCATTATATTGAAGGGTTGTTGAACCAAGCAACAAATAATGAGGCATTTATTTCGCAGAAGTAGCCTATATCTGAAAGTCTTTCAAACAGCGCACCATTTCTCAGACAATGATTTATTACCCACATTGGATTTACCCCAGCATGTTATAGAGCATTTGAAGCTCTAAATCAATGGACTTTGCCATGAGTCATGGATGATGCATCAGTCATCCGTGGCTCACCGTGTTGACGTCCCTGCACGAGCTTCAGCACCACGAACAGCGCCTCGTCCTGAACAAGAGAAATTAACAGCGCATAACAAAGCGCTCTGTCACGCCTGATTGACCTTCAAACTGTTACTGTAAGGTATCTTTACATGCAGTACATGGCCTAGAAAAGGGTGCAAACTTATATGCATCTCTCCAGTATGTTTAGCATCCTGTGGAGAAATTATTCAGCTCTGAAGCGCCAGGATAAACATCTGAGGAAATCTGGGAGACCTTTGAAGCAAAAGTTAGTTTTTCTCTACTGCTAACTCTAAAGTTTAAAGAATCAACTTAATGTGGGGAATATGGGATGTTGTGGAAGGAACACATTTGATCATCCAAATAATGATAAATTATACAGCTTCTTTCTAATCTTGTCTATCTGGAGTACATAAAATTAAAAACAACAAAGATCTAAGAAAGGACCCTTGTGGAACCCCTGAGAATTTTTTTATTCAGAGCAGATAAGATGAATGTATAAAGTCTCCTTTTACTGTTTAAGAAAACATGGTTAATAAAGAACTTGATGGAACAACTTGAAGGGGAGTCTCTTCATTAAAAGAAGAAAATAAAAAAAATAGTTTGAATGTGAAAACAAGCAAAACTAAAAAGATATTCAGTCACTACTAGTTTAAAGGTATTGCTTGCTTGCTAAGTGCTTGTTGAAGCTGTGTTTGGTTTAAAAACCCGACTATAAAACAGTATCAACACTGTGGGTGCAAAAAGTAATTGCTTGATGGATTAGTTATCATGACTTTATTGTCCTCTCCCACATGAAATCTGACAAGACTCCAGCCATTACTCTTGCCCTTAAAACCTCCTGTCTCGACTATTGCAATGGAGTCCTGTCTGGGGTACCCAGTAAAGCCCTGGACAGACTCCAGTATGTACAAAATTCTGCTGCCGTGGGTCCTCACTCGCACCAACCTCTGGCAGAATATCACCTCCACCCTCATCCACCTCCACTGGCTCCCAGATAAATCCTGCATCAAATTATAAATACTCCTTCTCACGACCTTACCCCCCAGTCCCTCTCATAACTCCTTCACCCATACACCCTGGTCCTGGAACCTCCGGTCCTCAAACGCTGGCCACCATCTCCCCACATCATACTATGGAGTAAGGACTTTCAGCATCACAGCCCTGACCCTCTGGAACCACCTCCCTTCAAAGCCCCATCTTTGGACACATTTTTTTTAAACTCCTCAAATGCCATTTTTTTCACCACAGCCTACAACCCTTCTTAACTCTGCCTCTCCATTGGACTCCCATTCTTTGTTACTGGTCTCAGACTTGATTTTCCTCACTTTTGTCTTGTGTTTTTTTTATTTTTTATTTTTTTTAAGATTTGTTTTTGGGCATTTTTTGCTTTTATTGGAGAGATAGGACAGTGGATAGAGTCAGAAATCAGGGAGAAAGAGAGTAGGGAATGATATGCAGGAAAGGAGCCACAGGTCGGATTAGAACCTGGGCCCCCCGCTTGAAGGACTACAGCCTGAAAATCGGACTTGCATCACATCAACGCATTTTACGTCATAACAAATACAGACATAATCAGAATCAAAAATACTACAAAGATAAATACAAAGATATTTACATTTTAAACAACATTTCAAATACCAAAGAAATATTAAAAGCCCTTCAAGGAACATTTGATGTGTTTTTAAACTCCAAACTCAATCCAAGAGTGCTCCAGTCTGACCTCATTAAAACGTTGGACCCTGTATCCCAGGTGTGATGGTAATAGCTCATGTTCACTGGTTGGATTGTGGTTAGGGTCAGAGACATCGCTGTTAGTCAGCCTAAATATGTTTTAATCACATACTCTGAGTTTCTGGAGTGGTTGGCTTACAATCTCTAAATCCTTTCAGAGAAACACATTCATGCATTTCTTCTCTTTTTGGGTGGATTCCTGTTTCTTATCTTGCATTTTATTCTGTCTTTGGAGACATTCAAGGACTGTAACACTTAATATATCTTACCACTTGTGACAGCAAGTTGTTTATTTCATGGATCACCTCTTCTTCTCTGCATCTGCAGTACAAGCAAACCACTTATGTCATAGCAGCCCAAGTGTTATACCTCCTTGACTTCCTCTAGAAGATAGGAGGCCAATTATTTGTGATTGTTAGCAGAGAGCAGAAATGTAACAAAAAAAGATGTTGAAAATAAGAAGGGACACATTCTGAACCGGAGATTTCTGTCCTCCTGTGTAAGCTACAAACTCTATTGCTGGAGACCAGAACACTTTTTTGTCACTTGCAAAAGTTATAGAATTAAGTGTTCATGTGTTCATACTCTCCACCAGGTTAGATAAGTGTAACGCTCCTTGAAAAACAACAGGAAGCCTCCAGAACATAGCAGCCACTCACTCCTCACAGGCACTTCATCACTTAATTGGCTCCCAGAACAATTCAGATCAACTTCAAAAAATCTATTTATAGCATTTGGAGGGAGTCATGGTTTGGCTAACAGTTTTTTTTTTTTTTACTGAATCACTGACTATAGTCCAGTCAGATCTCTCAGGTCATAAAGGGATAGGTAAGTGCTTCACCTGATATATACTGTACTGTTTACACGTGTTTTAACCGGGCAATTGGCATATACATTAGTAAATCAGTCCCAGATCAAAGTAGGCAAATACTGTCTCTAAACCGATATATCTGCATGCTAGTGCAGCAAAATATCCACTCTTAGATGTTTCTCAGCACAAATCCATTCTTGCTTTTTGTGTTACAGTACTGGTTGGGTTGTAAATAAAAAAAGCAACTCATGGACAATAATGTTTTAATTAACAGGCATGAAGTCCTTTATCAGTAATTGCTAGTTACATGGGAAGCCCTAAACATTTTGACCTTGTTTCTAGAGGCATTATTGTTGGCAGATAATAGCTGATGGGCACAAAGATGCATAAAACTATTAGGGTGAATGACAACATTAGCTGTACTCTAATAGTATTGAAAATGTTATTTTCTTTAGCCCCATGTCACTTCAACATCTCATGCCCGTTGTCTTTTGGTCAGGAAGAAGCAAACTGATCACCATTTGTCAGCTTTCTATGAATATATGATTTACATCCTCTAGTGCAGGATGTTGTCATTAGATAACAGCTGCTCACAAACTGACTTTGATAATGTTTCACAGTATAATTTCAAAGATGTCATTTTTAAAATTCTATAACCACATTTTTTTATGCCCACAACTTTTAAAGGGCGAGTTCGATGAAAAGTAATTGATATTAATAACTTGACTAGCAGTAGGTTTATAAAATGTGTTGTTTTTATTCCTGAGCCTCATAGTTTTAAAATCCAATTTTCAGTTGTTGACCAATCAGGAGGCAGCAATTTGTCCAATTTCAGTGTTTGCAGGATTTTTGCAAAAGCTAAAATTGGCATTAAACAATTTACATGTTAAATTGTTTGCTAGAGTTCGATGATACAATTGTAAAGGAGACAACTCCTAAATTCTGTTTCCACACTAATACTCTCATATCTTGTTACATTATTAAACAACAACTTTAGCAAGAAGAGGTTGAATGTTAGCTGTTAGCTAAAAGTAGCTATTGCTTCATCCAATTTGTTGTTTGCCCTGCATTTTCAGTGTCCCATGACTTTTTGATGATTTGTGTCTATGATCAATTATTTTGTGTGTGTGTGTGTGTGTAGGTCTGTGTGTGTCTGTGTGTGTGTGTGTGTGTGTGTGTGTGTGTGTCGACCAAAACTAATCCTAACCATAGGGCGATTATCTTCCAACAGTGATTTGAAGAGAAATGATGTATTTCTGAAAAGCATCACTAAATTACTCGTTTTGTCATTTTTTTTTTTTTTTTGTAATTTGGAGGACTTGTTGGCTATCTCAGAACTGAGAGCCGGGTTTCCATGGTAACAAAGCAGTGACATCTGCTGATCAGTGGCAGCAAGTAACAAAGAGATCAAAACACAGCTCATCTTTTGTGGTTGGGGGAGATATAAAGTAGTGTGCAGAAAGAAAACCTTGAGAAATAAGACAGCAATCAGGACATCATCAACGACACTGATCCTGACTGAAGCGAGTCCTGAGTCCTGCCACACTGAAAAAGACATGGCAGCTCTTTCACAGGTGCACTGAGATTTAAATATTTTACGTTTAAGTTTCTTTGGATGGTCTTACCCAGTGAAATGTGTGTACTGTGACTGTTCCTCCAGAGAGCACTAAACTGCTGTGATCACAACTCCAGAACACCCATCCAAAGTTTTAACTCTCTTAGAGTCCATTATATATACTTTAAATGTCTTTATATTTTATATTACATGAAGTTGATGGATGAAGTTTACAGACAGTGAAATGCATATCACTTGTTCAGTTTTCTATACGATGCCAGACTATGACCTCTATAAGTAATATGCTGCAGATCATTCAATTCTAAATAATAATTTGAAAATGCAATTCTTGAATGGAGGAGACAATATTTGGCTCTCTGGCTGTTAACGTTTTGCTAATTAAAGAATATAGATTTTCTTGTTATAACAAATACAGTATAACTTAAATGTTAAATGACTAAAGGAAAGTAATGCAATGAACTGTAATGAAAAA